TATATGCTCAACAATTTATGTATTAAACATGTAGGAGTTCGGCAAATTATTATTATTATTATTATTTTGGTAAAATTAGATATTTAATACAATTCATTTGAATGGGTACAGAAATATTTTAGATATTGATTTGATTTAAAAGGAAAGTAGGATCATGTTTTAAAACTATTTTTGTTTTTGTTCTTTCTTTTTTTTTTTAATAGTTTTGTTTTCTGACTTCAAGATAGTGCATCAAAAGTGAATATGGAAAATGTAAATATGACAGTTTGTCGAGTCAAATGATTGGTAGAATTTGATCAAAGCCCAATGAAAAGCTTGATGGAGGTGAGGTTCATGAACTCATTGTTTGCTATTCTAGTTCTTTGTTAGTTTGAATTTTCACTTACTAGATTTAGATCCCTATCACTTTTAGTCAAATCCTTGTAAAATCATAGCCATCACAAACTTTATTTGGGCGAGCTAACCACTCAAAATAGGGCATCTTGCTAATGTGCTCCCACTAGTGAATTGTACATTCAAGGTTAGCTGACCATTAGCTATAGAATGATAAACCATTAGCTATAGAACGATAATGTAATGGACGGTGGGTAGATAGAATCATTGCTAAGAAAAATTGTCAACTCTTCATGATGTACCATCTTTTGCTAACAAATTATGTTGAAGTTAAATTTAATATGGCTGTCAAATTCTTCAGCTTGACTCCAATTTTATAGTTTGCGAGAACTTCGAAGTTTTACTGGTATATTTGATAAGTTGAGTTAACGAAACTCGATCACGTTAGAGAAAAATATAGAAATATTAGCATATTAGGCGGCCTCTCGATCCTTTTGTTCATGGTTAAATGATTATCATTTTTATTTGCTCATCCTCTATTTTTTTACTTTTACTTTGTATTGAAAGCAGTATTTCCATATTCCAATAGCGAATCTCACATAATGAACAATCATCTAAGTATTTGAATTTCAAGAAAAATAGATCTAAATGATTTTTTAACTATGTTTGAGTGTTGCATATATAAAATAGTCACTCCATTAACTTGTTATTTTGAAATCCTTGAAAAAAGGGAAGAAACCAAATATTGTTACTCCACATACACAATAACTTTTGCTCATTTGTTTTCTCTTTAATCTACACATTGTCGATGCCATTTTATTATTAGAGAGGCATAAGGAACACATCCATCAATTTTCTCACCCAGATGAGATCGATGTTAAATCGTAGAGTTTGTTACAAAAAGTAAAATGAAGAGAAAAAAGAGTTTGTGTTGTAAAAATAAAAATAATAAAAATAAATTTACACTCTAAAGATATAATTGAGGGTTGAGGGCAGGGGACATGCTAAACATACCAATAATATTTGGTGAAGATTCCATGCATAATCAATTATTGAACATATAAAATAGCCGAAATCTTGAAATTAAACCACTCATAATATATCTCGAGTGTAACGACCCGAGCTCTAGGAACTCGTGAGATTACAAGGACCTTAAATTTATAAAATTCTACCTAAATATTTCATAAAATGCAGAAATTTAATTTGTATTAAAAACATTAAGGCTTTAGAGAACTCGTTAAAAAATTAAAGAATTTTCTTTCAAATAGTTTAGATTTTCAGCTCGTACGACTTTTAGAAATAAATCTCGTTCGAAAAATAAATGAAGTCCAACATTTACAAAATTTAACCTGTAGACATCATGCACACAGGGAAATTACAGGTTAAAATTTCTCATATAAATTCAATCAATAGATTGGTCAAAATTGATTCTAAACCGGAGTTATTTGTTCTCGGGTACAATCTGACAGCTCTCGGGAAAACGTTCATAACTTGAGTTTTATAGATCCAAAATTCATGATTCTAATTCTGAGAGATAGATAACTCATATGGCTATCTTTTTCAACTTGAATCACTTCAAAATTCCAAGTATTTAGGTCTGGGTGAATTTTTAAAATTAGGGAGAAACTTGAAATATTTAGTTTCCAGTAGTGTGACTCAATGAACTGAATAAACCACCATAAAACAAATATTAAGCAACTTCATAATCAATTCAGTCTTCAAGCTTTCAAGAAACTCTAATTTAAAATATCCCAAATTTATCGACCATAGCAGTGTTAAAAATAGTGGCAAAATTCTGAAATCTTCAAAGAAACATACACAAACATTAAAACCTTTTTTTGTCTCAAAACATGAATTCAAACTACAATCTGAGTGACTCCAATGACTTTTAAACATAAAAGTGGCAATCTAAAACATAAGAATAAATTTCTCTAAAAATAGAACATGCCATTTATGCCAAACCACCGTCGGATCTCCGATTACTCTGAAAATGGTTAAATAGGAGTGAGTATCTCAAAAAAATACTCATTAAGCTACACGAGCTACATGAACTTAATAATCATATATTTAATCGTACATTCTTACACATTGCCCTCATAAATAAATAAATCAATGATCGAACAATCTACCTAAGGTTCTAATGACCCTCGACAACTATCAGTTTAACATATATACTTAAGGTTCTGATGAGCCTCTACGGCCATCAGTTTAAAGGCACTAAAGGCACTTCACATGCTTCATGCAAATATAACGAATACATGCTTAATTGAAAATTAAATTCCTATAATGACAACTTCACGTAGGAATCCTACCTCAATTTGTGGTGATGACGTAGTGACCATGTTGAATCAAGATTCTTTCCAAAACTTTCCAAGTTTAGAGTTGAAATTGGTTTCTACCTCTCCTTTGAATCTTTTTTCCTTTTTCAAAATTTTCAGTTAAGGAGTCGTGTATCCAGAAAGTTTGAAGAAAATTGAGTTCCAATAGTAGAATTTGGATATAGGTAGGTTTCTTGTTATAGGATTAGGATAGGGCTTAGCTAATTCTCGTCTTTAACTAAATCCTAATTCAAGTCTAATTCAAATTGCATAATTTAAAAAGTAAACTTTCATCCTAAAATTAAAATATTAAAATACCCAATTCCTTTTCACACGTGGCTGCCAAAATCTATTAATCCTTAATTGACCTTAATTAAACATGTGAATTCTTTGGACATCAATATCATGGACCTAACTTATCCGAAATAACATTTTCTCGAGTACAAAATTCGCCATTTAATACGAGCTTTGAAACAAGCCCAATATTGATATGAAATTTTTCACTAGATGAATACTTTATTATTTGAACAAGAGCTAAAAATTTTAACACGAGATTTATTTTTAAATTAGTCCCTCAGTATCTCAAATTAACAAAACATGTCAAGATGAAATAGATTAAATTTTTTATTTTCGGTTGCTACATTGAGAAAACAAGTTTTAATAATTTAGCTAGTAGAATTCAAATAGATATTCAATAGATTAGAAACGATTTCATCAAAATTTTACCTCGGAAATGAAGAACTTCATATTTCTCAAGTAATTTTTATTTGTTACAAAGTCGATCCTCCTTTGCCAAGCTGCTTGACAAACAAAGAATATTAATGAATTATTAAAAGAAAATATAGCATTAGAGTAGAAGATTTAGAATAGGAATCGAGGACACATACATACCTGCCTTATCCTACAAATTGGAAATATCAAGCTTTGGTGCACTCACTGGCAATGGACTCAAATTTTCCATCATAGGGCAGTTTTTTATGGTCGAATCCTTCAATAGAGGCCATACAAGGTCATAGTTCTGAGAGCAAAACATTTGAATACTTGAAAGATCCTTGAGTCGTAGACGGTTCAACTTAGGAAACACAATTCTAGTTTTCATTGCTTCAATTATTCTGATCTCTGAAGTGCCTTCTTCTTCTTCTTCTTTTCCAACAATCGCTTTAATCGATTCACAATCTGAAACCTTTAGAACTTCCAGAGCCACAAGAGAATTGGCCATTGAAGGTAAGAATAGGTACTTTAAGATACCACATCTTTCAACGACAATTGATGTCAAATTCTTGAAGACACGAATTCCATTAGGAACTGTCCCTATAATGTACGCTAATTTGTCCAGATATTTTAGCCTTAGCGATCTCAATCGACCAAATACACTTTCAGCATGATCTTCTGGAACTATTAGACATTCAAATTCAAACAGCACTTCCAATGCTTTACAATCATAAACTTCAAGTATTTCAAGATTTTGTAACGATTCCCTCGAATTCTCTGCCCTCATGTTCACTAACATTACTATATAATCCAATCCATCAATGACCAACTCATTCATGTTAGGCAATGTAACCTGTGAAATTCACTTAATGATGTAAGCCACGACACTAACATCATCAATCTTTATCTCGTATATAATAATTAATACTTTTCCACATTAGTTTTTGATGGGAAATGCCTAATGACCCACGTGGATGACTACGGGGATGACCTCCCTCTCACATGTCGACGTGGGTACCTCGTGAATAAAATAATCCCGATCCTCCATGTCTGTGTGGTGTTTCAACCTCATGGTCATCCAAAATATTCGTGTAGCATTACCCGTTTTTGATAGGGTCAATTGTGACCAACAATTTTTTTTATTTATATTCTATGCAGTCTAATATTTTAGTTCAAATATTAATAAGTTATTCTTTATAAACGAATTGGAGAAGTTGTTATAATTTGTTTGATTCTTCGATTTGCATACATGTACATGGAAACAAATATGGCCAGACGCACAAGGAGGAAAGGAAAGATACATACCTGGTTGAACAACATTCGAAGAATGCCATCATCGTTTGATTCAGATCTAAAGCTCTTAAAACTGATTAAATCGTAAAGCACGAGGCTCTCTAGTTTTGGGAACTCAAGCATATCGATGACTTCATTTCGTTTTGCATCCATTGAAACAACTTGTGTGAAGTGATGGAGGTTTGATGGAGTGCTTGCATCCATGACAATGTTTCTCGTCTCTGAATTGTTTTCTTCTCCTTCTTTTTCTTCTTCTCTTCCAATGATTTCTTCTAATGCTTCGCAACAAGTAATTGATAAATCTTCTAAGGCCGCAAGTGAGATGACCATAGAAGGTGAAAATAATCATTTTAAGCTATTACAATTTGCAACATTAAGAGTCGTCAAATTTTGGAAGACACAAATTTTTTTTGGAACCATCCTTGTAATATGCACCAATTTTGGTAGTGCCTTCAGCCACAACTTTATCAATCGACCAAGCATATCAATTTCTTCATCATCATTAGTGACCTTTATACCCTCAAAGTCAAACAATACGTCAAGTGCATTACATTTCCACACCGTAAGTCTCTCAAGATTTTGCAGTAACTGAATTGAATCAGATTCTGCAATGGCCAGCAATTTAGAACAACCGAACACTGCTATGAGTGCTAGTTTATGCAGAGATTGTACTTGCATTTCCTTGCCTAGTAGCGTTACTATACAACCCAAGTCATCAACTCTAAACCACTCCATGTTAGGAAAGTTGACCTGCGAAGTTCAATTAATCGTACTCAGCCAAAATTTATCCATTATGCTATCTGTATAAATGAAACTGAATCCATCTACTCATTTGTAATACAAGACACATTAATTGTGCTGTTGACTAAATCAGATAACCGACCATCATAGAAATTGTATAAATAATATTTTTATGGAATTGAATGATAATTACATATTTTTATGGATCAATACTACACATAAGGAGTCAACATATCTGCTGCTACTATTGGGCTAATTTGTATTATTTTTAGTATGAGATTACCAGGTCGGTCACACGTTGAGATATGTCCTTATTTGATTCATAATTTTTAGTCAACTTCGGTTCAGCAAATAAGTGCCAGCTACAATTTCATTCATATTTGAGCCCCAAAATCAATTTTTTCATAAAAGTCAAAAGTGCACCATGTAAAACCTACTACGGTTCAGCCCCAAAATCAATTTTTTCATAAAAGGAAAAAACATATTTGAGCTGATACTGAAGTCGACAAAAACGGCTTTCAAGAAAATTATCCTAAAGTAATTCATGTTTACATAACAACCAAAGAAAAATCTCACTAATTCGAAGGATAAAAAACTAGCCAGATCTGTATTTACTATTGGGCTAATTTAGTAAAAATCTCACTTATTTTTATAAGGGCCTAATTTGTTTACTCATCAATTATTGGGCAACGGTTTTCCTTAAGACATATTAATTAGAATTCCTTAATCCCAATTTTTGAATCCCAAATTTAGCCCAACACAAATAAATTTAAATTGACTGAAGTTCTCCCTTCTTTATTACAAAATTTAATCTCGAAAGTTTGCCTCCAAATTTTACATTAGTCTTTTTATTTCTAAGTTTATTTATTATTTTCTCAACTCTTGATTAAGACCACATTTCTACAAAACATTTTACTAATTTATACGTGGATTGGAATCATGAAAAGCTATAATTATTAACTTAAAATAAAACACAATCCATAAGTAAATTTTGTGCATGAGGTGCTACAACCTTATTGTTTCTCCTGAAATTAGCCCATGTTTGGCTCAACTAAAAAAGAAGTCAAATTCATTAATTAATTTTAATAACATATTCCACGAGAATCACACTCATCAATTACACGTTTCATTAACTTTTTCAAACTTCACTCAAAATATGCCCATGTTTCGTATCGCTAAAAACTCTTATTAAATTTAAGTCAAAGTCAATAATTAATTTTAATCACAAATTCTATTAACTTTTATCAAAATCTACTAAAATTTTGAGTTTCATCTCTATCAAACATGGACATGTACTTTTTATCTAAACCAATAGGTTTTGATAGAGGGCTCACTCTGATTAATAATATTTGTAATCATAAAATTTCATTGATTAGTACTAAATGACTACTCTAATTTTTTTGCTTCAGTGTTTATGATTTGTTTATTTCGAACACATTTTCACATTTTCGAGTATATGTGATTTCCAAAATTTGCCTTATTCTTCAAATTTGAATCATTTGATACGAACAAACTAAACACTCTTTAGAACAAATAATGCCTCTTGGATACACATAAAATGAAGGTTGAATATCATACCTGGTTGAACAATGCATGACTAACATCGCTATTTGATTGAGATGTGAAGCTCTTAAATCTACTCAATGATTTTAGGTCGACAATTTTCAGTTTTGGAAACACAAGCATTTCACAAGTTTTGATAACTTCATTTTCTCGTGCATCCGTTGAAACAACTTCTAACATCTGACATGACGATATAGTTAGACTTTGGAGATTTACCAAGCATTTTGCAACTGACTCCTGAAACAAGCTTGTAATTGATTCACAATCGAAGATATTGACTGTCAGAAGGTTACAAAACCATGACGGTTCGATGACAACCCTTGGAATATTTCCATTGCATATCTCTCTTAACTTGGGTAATTTATTCAATTCAAGAAACTCTAATTTACCGAATGTGCCACCTGGAATAGTGTTGGTGGCATCAATAAGATACTCGAAATCTCCATGTGATAGAATCAGTGTTTTCAAGTTAATGAAACCATTTCCTTCTAACTCACACACAAGATTCTTAAATATCTTGGCATCTTCACCTTTTATTGCATTGAAACATTTCAAGTACAGCTCTTCTAGTTTCTTCATACCCGACAAAACACCAAGAAGAAGTGGACCGGATAACTCACGGAACCTCAAATCAAGTGACCTTAGGTTGCAAAGATTCGTGAATTCAATGGGAGAATAATCACCAAAAGAATGATAGAAAGAGAGAATTTCCAACTTCTTTAGACTCCCAATCATTGATAATTGAGAATGTATTCTACATTCAATTAAGCAAAGAGTTTGAAGTGTAAGTATTATGCCCTAGGTCCAATCAATTTTGGACATAAATACTTTTATATATAATTAATGCAATTAAATGGCAGATCTATTATTTAATTAATAGATAATTAAATAAATAATAGAGTCCGTAGATTCAAATATTTGTAATTTGTTAATCACAAGGAGTTGTGATTGTGAGATACAAATTACATCTGATTGAATCTTAAATCATCCGTGGTCGTAAGTAATAACGAGATACGGATATCGTTATTACGGATAGACCATCACGTGTGGCATTTCTTACTTGTGAAGTAAGTAGCTGATCTCACAAGTTAAAGTGTGGTGACACTTAAATGAACACGTGGATGTTTGTTATAGAACAAAACATTGGAGACCCGTCGAGAGATTCCACATGGATAACTATCTGAGTGTCGATGGTTAATCTCTAACGTTCGGTAGTGAAATTGGTCCTTTGACTTGAGGTCGTCATGGTACCTTATATGAGGACAGTCATACTTTGGCGGTGTTGGATGTTGCTCTGAAAAGGGCCGCTAATACGACATCGTTCGGGTACGTCAAGAATCGTATGAAGGTTGTGATTGATCATTAAAGGATTCGTCACTCTTAGATAGTAGGAGATTATGATCTGCGTTTCATCCAATTAAGTCAATGATCAAATCCTTGGCCGAGGTGTACTCAGAAGTCGAAAAGGAATTTTCGATTTATATTGACTTAATAGTGGAGTGAAAGACATGATCGATGATCGAGATTGACACAACTCCATATCTCGTAATTGATCGGATCATATTGACGAAGGGATTATAGTTTCACGGTAAACGAACGAATTTGGTTTTGTCATACCACGTGACATTTCCCGTCACATGTATTGCCCTGACACATTGCTAGATGTCAATCAGGGACGGCGAATGTGAATTGACGATAAATTAAAAGGGTGTTTTAATTTATCAATTTAAATTGACGATAAATTAAAAGGGTGTTTTAATTTATCAATTTTGATTAGATCAAAATAATATTTCACTTCGTTAGGCATCGTGGTCGGCAACCTAATGGGTCACACACAAAAGAGAATTGGAAGATTGCAAATTGCCAATTGGTTAATTTAACAATCGTTGGATAAATTAATTAATTGGATTTGTTATTTATATTTTTGAATTAATTAATTGGATTAATTAATTCACGGACCGGGTTTAATTAATTGGATTAATTAATTATTGGACCGGATCGGGCCGAACCTGTTTGGGTTTATATAAATACATAACTAGGGTTTGAGGTCCATTAAGGTTTTCATTATTCTTGCTAGCACAAGAGAAAACCCTATAGGCTGCAATCATATTCTCTGTGTGGGTCACCGTTGGAGGCTGGACAATTGGACAGCTGTGGTGGCGAATCAAAGTTGTGGAACGAAAAGAAAAGTAAAAGGATTGCAGATCTGACAAAAGATACAATCTTATCACAATTCCTAACCAAACACAATGAGATCTATTGGATGGGAATCGAAATAATTTAATTTTCCGCTGTGCATGTATAAGTAGATTCCCAACATGAAGACCCATCAACAATTGGATGGATGATGGAATTTGAATGTTCATCCCTTTCAATTCAAGAACTCTGAGTTCTTTCATATCTTCGAAAAAACCTTCGGAAATGATATATTCTTCCATCTCGCGACTTATCACCCGTAACAACTTAACATTTTGATATTTCAACCCGCTGGGAAGCTGACGCAGCTTATCAATTGTAATTGAGATGGCACTGTACAATTCATCAGCATCATGTTCTGGCCACTCTGTCAAACCAGCATGTTTCACTAGGTATTTGCCATCAGTTGTCGACATTTGTAAGCAAAAATCTCTGATAACATCATGCAATTTCACCTCGTCATCCACGTCGCCTGGTTGCAACAAATTACAACTTTTGAGATTATCGATAATTGTCTTTGCTCGATCTTGAGTTTCGTGGAGTGTCTCGATTTTAAACAAACCTAGCCCCTTTGCATATCTAACCAAATTTTCAATCGGAATACTTTCATCTTCAGCAAATAGAGAACACAGTAAAAGCAACTTCCGCTCTTCATTACTTGCCAAATGGTCATAGCTCAATCTTATACTCTTGTACACGATTTTTTCCATTCCATCAAGACATGTAGCACAAGACTGTAGCTGTCGAAGTGCATCTCTCCATTTATATGCAGCTTTGTCGCTTTTCAATGCTTTGCCAACAACCACAAGTGCAAGAGGTAGACGTCCACATTCATCTGCAACTTTTTTGGCTAAGGTTACGATTTCGGAATCGGTTTTATCATCAGAAATCCCAGCCGCATCCTTGAAAAGTTGCCATCCTTCTACTTCGTCCAAAACTTCGATTTTGAATTTCCTTTCGGATTCCATTTGACAACACGTTTTTTCATTTCGCGTTGTAAACATAATTTTCAACCCTTCGCAATCGTGTGGAGATGGAATTCCTATAGTTCCCAAATCAATTTCTTCCCACACATCGTCTAATATTATAAGAATCCTCTTGCCAACGTTACGTTCAAGTCTTCCATAAAGTGCTCCAGCTCTAACTTCAGTTGTCCTTTCTTCAATTGTTAGACCAAGTGCTTCAGCAAGTTGATCCTGAATATTGGTAATGTCTGGATTATTAGATACAACTGCAAATGCAACCTCCTCAAATAATTCACCCTTAACTTCTTTACATATTTCTTTGGCCATTGTTGTCTTACCAACTCCAGGCATGCCACAGATCCCAATTATGCCTATATCTTTGTCCTCTAGAGCTTCAATGATTTTCTTCTTAATTAATAACCTTGTTCCGAAACCATCATGGAAACCAACATTCAGCAATTGGTTCGGCGGTGGACTAGAGCTCAGCTTCCAGAATCTGTCCTCCACTTTAAGCTTAATAGCCTTGATAAGCTTATCAGCCTCAACAATAATCTTTAAGGCTGTCCTGCTTAAGAAGTAACGAGACATCAAATTTTGACATCCATTGAACAGACACCGCACTTCAGAACTATCCACGTCCTTCAAAACTTCGTCCGCTTTATTCTCTAAGACATTGACTTTTTCCAACCACGATTGAACTTCTTCCCCAGTGATTTTACCATTTTTATCGTCTGCTTTTACTTTATCCTTCACTCGATCTCTCATCCATACAAGATCTTTAACTTTATCCTGCAAATTCTGCATGTTACTGTAGAATAACAAGCACTTGATTTGGTTCAAAACTGGATCAACTGCGTATCCCGCAAGCTTTCCAAGAACGGAATATGCTATGCCTTCTGCCATTATTGGGATTTTTTTCTTTTTGGCCGACCTTTTACGTTCAACGAGTTTAATGAAATTCCAGATTATTTTCTTGGATACTAGTGATTTTGAACCCTGTAGAGTTATTTAGAAAATAACAATATGAGAGCATCTATAATTGTAAATTTTTTGCAAAATCTACGACAAATTAAAAGAGAAACGGTGACAAGGGAAGTTAAATCTATTCGTTATCATTGTACAACACATTATTTTTCATTCGAACTATCAAATCATTACTTCCACGATAAAATTGGTAGCCATAAAACAATATAAATTTTATAATAGAATTTCAACTGACTTTAAATACTTTTATCGAAAAGAAAAAAAAATTATACGAAATGCCTATAAAAATTATTGCAAATAGTTTATTTTATTTAATTGTTTATATTTGAAGTACACTATTATACTATTTCACATCATTACTTCCACGATAAAATTATTTAGAAATTAGATAATACATTTTACAAAAAATTAGTAATCTCAATTACAAAAATAAATAAGAAACATAACAAAGGCATCAATAGTCATCTATAAAAGATAAAATAATTTCTCACTATGCAACCAAAAAAAATAAAAGAATGAATGAAAACGCAAGATATAACAAACCAGAGATAAATTTTAAAAACGCATAGTACAAAAAATTCATATTTATCATTCCATAAGCTTGTAGAAAGTTAGTCTTTAGAAGTTATTAAACTAAAAATAAACAAATTTCAAAGAATTTAATTACAAATCAATCTACTTTAATAATATCTCATAAGTATTTAATTCACATTTGATTTTTTTTCAAAGAAAATTGAAGAATCAATGAATAAGAATAGAGAGAGAGAAACAAAAATTAAAAATGTGAATGTTAGAAGAAGAAAAACAAAAAACTAACATGTTTAAAAAGAGAGTAATTAGTGATATACTTTTTAAATAAAAAATTTTTTGATAATAAATCATTTTCGTAGGGTTCGTTAAACAAAAGATGAAGTAGAATATTACAAAAAAAAATACTTTTAAGAAAGTCATTCAAAATCTCAGAAGTGATTGAAAAACCAATTGTACGATTTTTTATTTGAATTTTCTACGTAAAAGTTAGTGAGCAATAAAAGTGAATAGAAGTTATTAATACTTCGAATACCCGTGAATTTTTTAAGAACTTTAAAGTTTTGATTTAATATTTCGTTACTTAAACGTCAAGCTTTTATAGTCGTAAAAAGTGTATAATTAATACATCTACATATTCTAAATCCATAAAACTCTTTAAAAGTCTCAATCCTATTATGGTTGCGTTCTGTTTTGCTTGTTTTTTGTTTATTTATTTTTTTGGCTGTGTGCTCTTAATGTAGTTTGGTGTTAATCGTATCACTATTTGGAATTAGTAGGTACTTTGTTATGTAAGGATGACAACAAGGAAAGGCGAGGCAAGGCAAGAATTAAAAGATTCTCATTTATCCATATTTTAATATTATTTACTTTTAAAACAAAAAATTCGAAAATAAAATAAAAGTGTACAATATTGAAGGGAAATACGAGGTACGGAATATGTTCTCCATCTCGAGGTAGAATTTTATCATCCATGCCGTTCAAACGAGATTATTGAAAAAACGAGAACAAAGTCTCAAATCGATTAAATAAGAACTAACGGTAGACTTAGGGATTGACTTTTTCCACTTTAAGGGTTAAACATGAAACCACAATTTCCTATTCTATCGAGTATAGTGGGATAGGGAGCAGCAACTTAAAAGTGGGGAAGGACGAAATTTTTCACTTCAACCCCAAAAGTGAAATAGTAATCTTCCATATTCAAAAACCTACATTTGTGATGAAAGTAGGCTTAAAAAATGGTAAAGTAAAAATGTATAATAGAAAGCGAATCTAAACAAATGCAAACATATTAAAATTTTGTAAATCAAAATGTGTATAAACATCAATGTGATTAAACGAAATCTATTTCAAAACCATCTATAAAAGTACAGATTAGAAACATTCGAACTCCCATTTCATCTCCAATTTTTTTTTTTTTTTCCATTGTTGAGTTTTAGTCAACAATGCATTTATTCATTATTAACTCATGGATTAGACTTTTATTTTATTTTTATTTTTTAAAAAAAAATTTATTCTAACAATAATTAACTTCTACATTCATTTCCTTTTAAAACATTAATTTAAATGTAAAATTAAAATTTTGAAAGAAAAAAAGCTGAAAATTCAGATTATAGATATTAAAGTAACTAAAATGTATATAAATTTTTCGATATTCATTAATTTATTATTACAAGTTTTTTGCCCATGCAAGGCACGGGTTGTACTGTTTTGAAGATAATGTTAGCATGTTCAATATAAAGAATTAACGAGACGTATATTTTGATTCAATAGAAGTTAAATAAACGGAATATGTTTTGCTCATAAGTTTGTCCTAAAAGGTACAAATACTTTTTTATTTGAAATATCTACCATTTGATTTCAAAAGAAAGTGCATCTCGTTGCAAATTAGAAGAATTTAAGGTTGCGATTGAGACCAATTCAATGCCAAAAATAGTGATATTTGATAGTTCTTTTTACAAAAAAATATCCTCATTTATCGTATTTTATGTTTAAGAGGCAAAACTCTATGAACGACAAGAGAATTAAATGAAATAAGCCAAAATCTACAAAAAAAAATGGCAAAATCCAAAGCATGGGTATTAAATTGGCCATACAATGGAAAGTTTGGGATCAAATTCTAAACTTCAAAAATTGAAGAACTTGAATTGATTGCTCAATTAATTGGATTTGATGAGTAAAATACACGCTGTTGGACATTTGTGCAGAATACAATTACATATGACAGGAAGATGTGGAAGTTGTTATCAAAGTGGATTTTGACACATAGTATATAAATGGGTTTGGACTTCATTATATTGGATATTTAAGTCCCAAATGGACTAACTACAATTAAGGAGGGTTGCCTAGGAGAAAGAGATGCACACATAGAAATATTGAAGGCGACGGCTGGAAGACAAAAATAAATTGGGGAATATTGAAGGCGACGGCTGGGAGACAAAATAAATTGGGGGCTTGTTCCTTAGACAGGCCCCTGTTGGCAGTTCCAAGGAGCAATGCCCCAATAAATTGTGAGGCTGAACTATATACACACATTGGCAGCAACTTTTGAGACAGAAAAAGGAGGCTGTTTGTTTGGGAAATCGAGTATACATACCCTCAAGCAGACACAGCTGGTGGACAGGTGGGGCATAATAGAAAGGAATATACAAACACATAAAACAGCAGCTGGAGTCCCTTTCAATTATTTATCCAACAACTGATTTGTTTGTGGGTTTTGTTGTCGCTGAGAGAGATAATAAAATCATTAGTACATAATAATAAACATTGAGGTTCAATAGAAGATAGAAATATACTTCTATACTTAATATGATTTTTATAAGATATTCAAACCCGTTTAATACTTTTATCATGTTCGCATCTTTCATTGAAAGATAAGAATGCCACATGAGGGAAATATATTTAATAATTATCGAGAGAGGTTTCCAATTAAAATAGGAAAATCAACCAAAGAGCACAATTTAACACAATTTAAAATTGTCATTTTAAATTGTTGAATTAAAAATGAATTAAAAAGGGAATTCTACATCTTATCAATACGTCTCAGTAATTTGATAAATTTTTACGTTACTTTCAAATTAGTCAATAGATTTAATAGTGTTAGTTACAACTCCATTTTGCTGTTCAATTATGGAAATTATTAGCCTTAAATCAATCACACTACTAAATTACTTGTTCACGATTTCATTCACTTGCGAGTAATCAAACGATCAATGCCTATAGTCAGAGTAAAGGAAGAGTTTTCCAAAACGGTAGTCCAAGTTCAGACAAAAACTATTATATGTTTTGCTTGTTGCACTTGAAAGCAACCGGGTTGATGAATGAGACAACGAGAAGCTAACACACGATTCTCCACTCTCTTTCATTTCTGTTCTCTCTTTTAAAGTCTAATACTCTAAATGGAAATGGATTCATAGACAAAAATCAAAATGAGACCTCGTTAACAACAGATTGAACATTAGAGCTATTAGTCCTATAGTATAATTTATGAAGCAAATAAGATATAGATAAAGTAACATGGAAGAAGCAGCGAGAATAAATTTCCAAGGTAAGCGTCGATGATTTTTTTTCAAAAAAAAAAGCTTAATGATTGATTTATTATGCAGTTGATAGTAGTAGATCTACTAATCTACGATACCATGTGGTGTGATTTCAAACATTGCAATACAAGCTCGTGATTATGAAAAAGTGGTAAGACACAATGCAATCGAATGTTTAAGAGAAAAAAGCCCAACAACCATTACAGTCATAATATATGTTTGATGTTCGAAAGTTGGAAAGGAATCAAGATGAAGTATTATCACCTGTGTATGAACAGAGGAAGATATCTATTCAGAAAAAATCACCCCAAATTTTCCTTAGATCATCATTGTTGAAAAAGCTCAGGAATTTTTTATCAATTGCCTGTGAAAAAAATAGAGACGAACAAATTACAGTTACTCTCACAATTGCTGTATATATGAAAACAAAAACAAAAAATACAAAACAATAAAGGTGTCAAATTAACATAACAATGTACAAGCAAATATGAAAATAAATGTTCTATGAATACAAATATTGCACGTGATTACAATAATTATTCATCCAGTTGCGACCGAAATTGTTAACGCCACCTAAAATCGATAAATTATTACCACCAGAGTCACCAGTAAAACTTCTATCTCCCTCATACGACTACTTGAATTTCATCCACAATTATCAGTACTCTAGTCCTTCACATAATCACCAGGACGGCATCTAGTTGCATCACACCATCAGTATTTTTATCATCTGTACTTTTATCTTTAATTACTGTCTACAATTGGCACCACCTAAATGTAGCTACCACCAGTGTGTGCAACTCTTATTTTGCATTTTTTGCTAATCAACTTAGAAAATTGAGATTCAATGGCATACAAATCTTACGATAATAATTTATAAATTCGCTCAAAATTCTTGAATCAAGACAGTTAACGGCAGCCGGAGAAGGGTGAAAAAAACACAAATTTTTCAAGGCTTTTAAAACATTGATACAAAAAGAATGAATAATGTATTACTGTTTAATGCTTAAGATTAAGAGAGAAACATAGGAGATTAAAAAAGTGAGAGCTTTGTGATTTGAAAAGGCTGAAATTTGTTCAACTCTTTAAAGAGAGATTGAATATAGCACCACTATCATCGCAGTTGTTGATTCAGTTAGCTTAGCTCCTGTATCAGAGTAGCTGAAAGCAGGGGCGGACCCAAGGGGGTCCAGCAGGGTCAAGTGACCCCCCCAACCAAATTTGGTTTTTATTTTTTATTTTTTTTATTGGTCCCGTCTGTTATCGATTAGAGTCTAAATTTTAATCTAAATCAAAGTTAATAATTAATTTTAATAACATCTTTTCATGACATTGTTAACTTTTATCAAAATTTACTAAAAAATTGATTTTAATCTTCACCAAACAGGAACAAAATCACAATAAATTTGAATTTTTTTCTTTGTTGGTACTCCATTTTACTCTCCTTCACACCATTTACCAAAACCTTAATTCTTCTAATTTTTTAAATTTTTCCTACAAATTATCACATCTACTACAAATTTTTACTTTTCAATCAAGTTTTCAATTAATTAGAATCTAAATTTGCATTATCTCCTATTTTATTTGTGTACATAGAATGTGTTTGAATTGATTATATCCAATTTAACGAATTTTATTTATTTGATTGAATATTAGTTATATATTTTTCTTTTCGGTCACTTAAATTGATTAAAGTATTAAATACAGTATAATTTTTTTAAGCATAAATATGAATTTTCTTGTGATGAACAAAATATTAATAAAATAATTGTTCGAAATCAAATGAATGAAAATTATGAGCAAAATATTAATGAAAAAAATATTTTTTAAATGTGAATATGCATTTTTTCGAAACAAGTATAAATCATTTAAAAATTAATAATAAAATATTCAATTTATACAAATTTTGATTGTGCCTCCTAACCAAAAATTTCTGCGTCCGCCCCTGGCTGAAAGTAAAGTTTTTGCTTCATCAATCAAGTGACATGGTGCAACATTCACATGCCTAAAAAAAATTGGTATTTAAGTTTCAATAATAGCAACGGAAGGTACACCGAATGTATTAGCAAGTTTTCTCATTCAAACGCCCCCCAGGGCACATCCAAGTTGGCAGAATAATCACATTGGGGGGCTCTGGAACCAAGTGTGAGGAGTTCGATTCCTGGTTGGAGCAGCCAAGTGATGTAATAACCAGAGGAAGGGTTGGAGCAGTTTGATGATGTAATAACCATGGAGGAGGGTCCCTTTGGGGAAGGAGTAAAAGCCATGTGGGAACCTGGGAACCAACAAGGGCACAACCTGCGATTTACCTCCACTAGTTACTGAGGGGCCGGGGGCTAGAGGTCCAGGATTTAATCCGGTTAAGCTGGGACACCTGGGTTATCAAAAAAAAAAAAAAAAATGTTTTCTCATTCAAACAGTTCAAAAAAAAAATACCAGAAATGAATCTACCACATTGTTCATTTTAAATGTAAGAGTGTTATCACCTTGCGAAGGCGACGCTTTTTGGCCTCCCCAGCTATATCCATCCAATGTACAATTATACCAGCAATTACGAACGAATTAGTGCATTGATGTGTACGAAGGAACGCAGCTTTGACTCTTCACCCTCAGCCACACCATCACTTACCCAGCTATATCATCCACTGTTCCATGTATTCACGTGTATCAAGGAATCAGATTGTTAATCGGGCTCCGGTTACAAAACACAAATTCTGAAATTGTAAACACAAATATATGCTTTCTAGCACTCATTGCTATATTTTTTTATGCAACACTTTAAGATTAGTCAAAGAAAGTAACATGGACCCAAAAAGAAAGAAAACAAAAGCAATTCATGGAACAAAATCGTCAAAATATTAAAAAAAACAGAATTTAATATCGCACATAACTTGATATTGAATGTTTCATAATCAATTTTCATATAAACAAAACATTGGGGTTGTTTGAGCTCCTTTTTTCTCAAAAAATACATTTGAAAGTGTTATGGTGGAAAATGTGCGATTAAAAAATAAGAAAAAATTTTGAGTTTATATGTACCATTATTTTATTGAAAAATATGATTGAAACGGTGTCAAACCATCGTTGAAAAATGGGGCTCATATATGCACATAAAGAAAGAAATATTCAGGTAAAAATTGATGAAAATGAATCTCTGTTGATTCAATCAACAAATGTGATTGAAGAGGAGTGAATTATTACAACTTATCTTTTGCTTCATAAATGACACCATTCTCAACACTTTAGAACTCTACTTGTATACCCAAAGAAAACAAAGTCATGAAGAAATCATTATCGAATAAAAAATAATCAAATTGATCCTTTTCATTTACTAAATAAATTAGCACCTTTTCAAACAAACCACAAAAAACATTTGAACAATCTCAGAATATTTTTTTTTTTCACAGGAGCCATAACATTGACGGATAGAAAATTTAATTTAATATATGAGCCAAAATTTGAAGGCCAGATATGGATATGGTTGGCTAGCTAACGAGTACACTTCTATGGGTTTTTGATAGTGGATTGCAGGTTGCTGTTGAGATGTGGATACATAGCATTTGCGGGGGAAAAATGATTTGGATTGTCATTTTGAAAACTATGATTCCTCTTTACGCTTAGCACTTAACAGAATGAAGCCTAATTTAGTGGAATATAGTTGTGTTTATGCATAATTAAATACGAATAATTTATCATAAGAAAAGCCAACGAAAAAGTGCAAGAAAATAACACACCTTAACTAAAGCTGCATAAAATAAAAAAATTACACAATAAAGCAAAGATTGAAAAAAGAAATGAAGTTTGTTAGCTGGGTGAAAGTAAAACGTTGAAAGCCAAAAATAAAAGCGCCGAGACAAATATAAGGAATCCTAGCCGAGCCAAAAAAAAATTCCTAATATGTCGACAAGAAACTGTTTTATTCTTCGTAAAAGCATCAAAGGCATAGATCGAGCAAAAGAACACATTTAAAGTACTAAAGCTTGTGGAGTAAATCGACGTAAGTGGAGAAAAAATTTAAAAAATTAGAAGAATTAAGGTTTTGGTAAATGTGTGAAGGAGAGAAAAATAGAGTACCAAAAAAGAAAAAAAAAAATCAAATTTATGGTATTTTGTCCCTGTTTGATGAAGATTAAAATCAAATTTTTAATAAATTTTGATAAAAGTTAAAAAGTAAACAATTTTATGAAAAGATGTTATTAAAATTAATTATTAACTTTGATTTAGATTAAAATTTAAATTTCAATCGATACCAAACAGGATAAAAAAAATCCAAATGGGGGGGGGGGGGTCACTTGACCCTGCTGGACCCCCTTGGGTCCGCCCTTGTTTATGGGTGAAGACGACAATATATTTGCATATGGAGAAGGGACATTGGATCAAGCTGGATGTGATTCCTATTGTGTCGACAAGAATAATATAAGTGTCTGTTTGATTGCAAATATGGAATTTGGGTGGAAAGAAAATGAATTCCAATGAATTGAATTGCCTAAAAATTATTTTCCTGAGAATTGTAAATTGTTGTGTTTGATTGGTATAATTTTTCACATGAAAAATGTTGAAATAAAAGTTTTTTTTGTGTCCGTTTGGTTTCGTTTTACATGAAAATTTTCAATTAAATGGATAAAATTTACTGGTGTTAGAGATAAAATTTGTTTCCATTGCTAACCCAAAAAAAAAATTAAGAAAACCATCTATCTTTTGATATTCGTTTAGCTTTGTTTTACATGAAAATTGTCAATTAAAGGAAAATATTTTTTTTATAATGATTCTTAGAACTTGTTTCTATTCCAATTCTCATCAAAATGGTGATTGAAATTCCTTGAATGGAAGGAAAATACCAATTCCCAAGGAAAACAAAGAAAAAAGAAAAAAAATTGGAATCAAACAACTACAATTGCCAAAAGTAGAAATTTATTTTCCATTTTTAATGGAAAATACCTTGAATCAATCACTACCTAATTGTAAATATCGTGTTTCTAAAAAACACAACTTATGGAGGACAAAGTGGTCTTTCTTCAATCTACAACCTAGTTGGATGTTGATGGCCACATGGCAGTCCTTAACTGGTTGTCTAACCTTCACTCGAGTTGTGTTTGTTGAAAAGAAATCTGAACCATTTGTTTCTATCGACGGCTGAGGTTAACTCTTTGGTTTTAATTGCTTTTGGAAGGGACGGTTTGGCTTATTTATACTCATTTTCTGCATTAACAATTTAGTAATCAAACCCATGTGAACATTGATCTGTACTGTCTGCTATGATTTAGACATGTGGCAGACATGTTTGAAAAAAGTTGAAAATTAATGGTCGCTATTTTTATTTTTTTTGTTCTTATTTAATGGGGCAGACATGCTCAAACAAGGGCTTAATAAAGAAAAAAGCTTCACGTACATCATTTATAGACAACCCTTGTTTGATACCCATTTTTCTCAAAATATATTTTTCTTTCTCTTCTTTTCAATCAAATATTACTCAATAAAATAATATTTGTTGGATATTGGTTATATAAATCGAGAATTGAAAATCGATTAAAGTGACTTCGTATCGACTTCGGCCAAATTCAATTCCGGAATAGACACCTTTTCATAAAAGTGCATTGTTTGGAAAGGGTGCATGGTTTGGCCTCAACCATTTCGTCCACACCCTTTCATGGTCTATAAAAGGACCCTTTGGGTGTCCTATTCCTCACAATTTTGATATGCAAAACATCTCTCATTCTCTCTTCTATCCAAAATCAAAATCATTTCATTTATTTTGATTTTCCTTCATTTCATCATTGGAGTACATAAACCTAAATTTGGTTCATTGTACTTGTGTTTTGGAGTGCTACAAACACAAGTGTAGCCGTTGTATCTTGGGAGTCGATTGCCGAAATCTGTAGGCACCGTTGCGGGGCAAATTCGACTTAAGGACAAAGAATCCAACTATTGCCTCGACTTTGTCCCTACTTTCTTCTTCTTCTTTTTTGTGTTTTCTTTGCCGTCACTCTGTCCAATTTTCGGCACGAATTTACAAACCATCATTATACTTATTTTGGCGTCACTATTCACAAAATTCCTCCAATAATATTACACGCAAAACTAAAACTTTTCATTATGTTTTAATCACACATTTTCATCAATCAACTATTTTAAAATATATTTTTATCATGAAAATGGAAAACAAACACCCCCACAGCAACTTTTACACCATTTTAATTTTGCTTATGAGGCCATGTTGCTGAAGAGAGAGAATAAGGGAGAATAAATGGCCCACCCACTTTTTTGTTTTTTTCTCTGTTTCACACAGTTATTGAGTAAAGAAAGAGTACGAGCATGTGAAAAATCAGAGAGCCTTTGCTTTACCACAGAAAATGTAGGCCGCTCACAGAAAAATTCAATTCAAATAAATAAAAAATAATCCACAAGATTTATATGAAAAAACATCAAAACAAACTGGGACTGATAAAACGAGAATAAAACGATCAATCAAGTATCTTCACGTATAGTTCACCTTCTTTTTAGGTCGAAATCACATACAACTCACGTATAAAAATCACGTTGTCGATGTCCTACTCGTTATGCAACCAGAGTTATCTCGGTGATGGCCAAAAAATGGACAACTTTCCTATAGTCGGTGTGAGATTTGGAGAAAAAATTATGGAGAATGAGCTCTTTGGAATAATAAATGATGTACGTGAAGTCTTGGGACAATAAATGATGCACGTTAACTTCAACTTTGCAACAAAATTCATTGAAAAATGAAAAAGTAGTCAAACTGGGAAAGCAAAAGTTGAACTATCAATTGATGAATCGTATTTTTCTATCAATTGAGAAAGCAAACGTGAATAAAAATATTAGAATTAAATTTTACTCAAACAGTGGACATTAAGCACTGTAAGAAGATTTGTATATCATATATTGTAGTCAAAGAAATTCTTGAATAGATCAAATTAAGAAAAGACAATTTTTAATTATTCTATCCTTAAATTTACCAAGTTAACTAATCTGAAAATATCTAGGATGGAAAGTCACTTGTATTAAGCAAAATGCGAACTGTTACAAGGCGTCGCAAACGCGGACCCCACTGACCCAGTGGTCCCCGTTCCATCCATCCACGTGGCACTATCGCATCAGCCTCATATCCTAGGTCGAAGCACACTATTTGATTACTGAATTCGCACTCGTCAATACGTCCGAAGTGGGTGAAAAACGTAGTCCGAGGCTGATGTCCGAAGCTTATTTCCGATGTCCCATGACGAAGCCCTCACCATCCGAAGCGGACCACCCCTGTGCCTACCAAAGTCCCCACACGAGGACCACGCGCAGAGGCTTGGATCACCTTGCCATAATTCGAGGAGATCTCAATCATAAGTATCTTACCAAGGTGATTGATGTGACACCCATTCTAGGCTTTAGGGGTCTTGTCAATGTCATGTGATGGCGACGCACCTGACAACTAATTAAAGCTAACACGCTAGGTATTAAATGGGCCATTGTCAAGATGTATAGAAAAATAGGATGAGGCCACGTGTAATGACCCTAACGGCTAGGATAATGGTTGTAACACTATAAATAAGCTCTCACACACTCATACAAGGGGATGGAGATATTAGAACTCTAATATACACTTTACTTTCAACAATACAGCTGCCTTTCTTGCATTTACACACTAAATCACCAAGACTCGATTGTTAATTAATCTACAATCGCTTAGACTAATCGTTGCCGGATCCCGAAATGTGTCCGTCCCGCGTCTTTGAGCTACTCCCACGCTCGCTTCTCATCTTCCTAAGGTGTCTCAGGCATCTCAAGCGTGTTGGACATTCGCCAACCTGTGCGAACGTGGGACGGGTATCTGTTGTCCACGTGGCCCTAACCGGAAACGAGATCAACAGATTGGCGCCATCTGTAGGAAGACTTTCCTATCAAAACCACGAATCACCGTGTGGAGAAAAGCCTACTTCCAAGGGCTGGGACATACCCCTTTGAAAAAGGATTTGCTCTTGAAAGAGAGCAAGAGGACGTCCTAAGAATTACAGTTTCAGGGTTCTAACAATGAGCTCTGACGAAGATACACACCCAAGGAGGACAAGGGGGAATAATGCAGAGGCCCTCCCCAGCAACATCGGGAGGAGGCCGTCGTCGACCTCACCATCACCACCGACGTGGTGGAGCAAGGTTGGCGCCCCAACTGTCTAGAGAGGTGGCTGCCATGGCAAACAACATGAGGGATATTACCAATCAGAACCTTGCCATGTAGGAAATGTTAGCAAGAATGCAGGGCCAAGGAAACCACCCCATCCCTCCGTACGCACCTCCGCATCAATACGACGAAGAAGACGAGGCGGAAAGTCAAAGGGCGGCAGCACATGTGCACGACAGAGGGGACAACCTCGGTGAGAGGGATGTGGAGTAGGATGCCTCATCCAACTATGATCCAGGCAGGTGCGAAGGGGTCCCCTATAACACGGAGGGTGGCATCCCACCTCCGTTCGAGGCAGAGAGGGGACCCCAAAGGACGCAGAGCGTCTTTGACAGGATTAGCCCTACAGGCTCAAGGCCGAGACATCACCAAGAGCCTACAAGTAGGCAACAACCCCCACCTCCTACGTATCACGCTCCGGAGGAAAGGCAAAGAAATGCCCCCCGGAGATCCCCTAGCATCGAAAATCGGAAGGATGAGGAGGCTAAAGACACAGCAGGACCATCAAGGCCAACGCCTCGTCATGATACTGACGGTAACGACTCTGATGAGCAGCAGAGGTCATGCGACTTGGATGATGACGATGATAATTTACCCTTTTCCAAGGAATTGAGAAATGCACAAGCCCCAGGCCATTATGTGATGCCAAAAATCCCCAAATACGATGGGAGAGGCGACCCCGAAAAACACCTGAGCGCTTATAAGACCCACATGAGCCTGAGGGGCGCCACTCCTACAGTAAAGTGTAGGGCATTCCACTTAACTCTGAGTGGGGCGGCTGAGATTTGGTACAGTCGACTGCAACCGGGGAGCATCAGGAGCTGGCCAGATTTCAAGGCCACATTCTTGAAAAGGTTCGCAGTGAGCAAAGAGAGAGAAGCCCCCATCCAGCGTCTGCAAGACATGAGACAGGCTCCTGGAGAGCTTCCTATCTCGATTCACAGACGAAATGACGTACTGTGTCCAGGTCAGTGATCGAGAGGCCCTGTCGGCACTAAGAGGAGGCCTCAACATGAGTACGCTGTTCTGGAGGGACGTCCAGAATCAGGACCCCGCCACGTACGATGCCCTATTGGAAATGATGAGGCGGGAAATAATCAATGAAGAGTTGATTGAGCATAGGAACAGGGCGAGTCAAAGCCTGCTCCCACAACAAAGACAACGTACAAGGGGGCCAACGTCCTACCTCATGGACTACCAAATAAACCATTCCAGGAATGAAAACGCTGGACAGGCACTAGCAGCAACGACATTAAGCGCAGTACCAACTTTGGCCTACGAGAATGTGGCACACCCTGAAACGCAATAGGCCCCCCGTCGAGGAAGAGGACGAGGTCATGGCCGAGGAACGTCGGTGAGGCATAGACATGAACAAGATGCGAACCAATATTGTACTTACCACCGAACTTATACCCACAACACCGAGGATTGCAGGGACTTCGCTCACCATCAAGCGACAGGACCCCGAGGCTCAGGAAGAAGGTCGCCTAATAGAGATGACAGGCGCATGCCGAGGCGCGAAGACCAATAAAGGCAAGGGGAGACACCGCATCGCCACAGGGAAACATCGCCCCGTGTAAGGCGAACTCACGACGAGAGGAAATCCTATGATCATCGGAGAAACAGAGGCAATATGGCACGAGACGAGGCCCCTATCCATGAAATTGACACAATTTTTGGAGGCCCCTATGTAGGAGGTGAATCACGCAATTCACAGAGGAACTACGTCCGAGAGGCTAAACGACTCCCATTGACAAGCTATATTGTGGGAAGCACTTCCAGGGACTCCCAGGCTCCCCCCATCTCCTTCACACAGAGTGACACTGAAGGGGTCCACTACCCCCATTGCGATGCACTCGTTGTGAGATCCGTTGTCGCCCGCAACGAGCTAAAGAGGATATTGGTAGACAACGGCAGCTCAGTGAACATCCTGTTCGGCCCTACTTTTGACAAAATGATTTTGGATCACAAGCTCACGCCAACCAGTGACCCACCGTACGAATTCACAGGCGATAGCATCACCCCAAGAGGGAAGATAACCCTAGCAGTGGAGATGGGAGAAGCACCTCAAACATCCCTGAAATTCATGGAATTTCTCATAGTAGATAACCGTTCAGCCTACCACAGAGTTTTGGGACGACCTGCCTTGAAAGAACTGGAAGCAGTCACCTCCATACATCACCTCTGCATGAAGTTTCCGACCGACAATGGTATAGCCACGGTAAGAGGAGACCAACGGGGCTCCAGGGAATGTTACTTGAATTCGATTAGAAAGGCAGAGCCCCGAGACGTCCACGTAATCACTGATGTGATCATGATGGACGTCCTTGCAGAGGCCCAAGACGATGATCGATCCCGAGGTATAGACCTCGATGTGGAGATGGTCGACGCTCCAAGGGAAAATGATAGGGAGATGACGTTGATTGATGAAATCGACCCTCGCGTCTCTCACAACGAACATCGGTCAGCCCCGGTAGAAGAATTAGAAGAATTTGCTGTGGACCTGTGAGACCCCACAAAAGTACTAAGGGTAGGAAGAGATCTTCCGACCCACCTGAAAGACATCATGAAAACTTTCCTCATCAGGAATGTGGACGTCTTTGCTTGGAGACACGGGGATATGGTAGGCATTGACCCTAAAGTCAGCTGCCACCACCTGGGAATTGATCCCGAAGCTGCCCCGCATAGACAGAAAAGACGATCTCTCAATCCAGAGAGGTATGAGGCCCTAAAGCTGGAAGTGAAAAAACTGATTGACAACGGTTTCATTAGGGAGGCGAGGTATCCAAAGTGGGTATCCAATCCGGTGCTCGTAAAGAAACACAACGGTAAGTGGAGGGTATGCGTAGACTTTTTCGATCTCAACCATGCATGCCCCAAAGATAGCTTCCCCCTTCCCAGAATCGATCAACTGATTGTTACGACAGCAGGGCATGAACTCCTAAGTTTCATGGACGCCTACTCAGGTTATAATCAGATCCCCATGTTCCCAGGCGACGAGGAAATCACGTCGTTTATTACAGACAGAGGCCTTTACTGCTACAAGATGATGCCCTTCGGCTTGAAGAACGCCGGGGCAACGTACCAGAGGCTCATCAATAAGATGTTCTCTGAACTCCTGGGAAAGACGATGGAAGTTTACGTAGATGACATGTTAGTGAAAACCCTCAAGGCAGAAGACCACGTGACTCACCTCGACTCAGCATTCCAGATCCTGCGAAGATATGGGATGAGGCTGAACTCCCAAAAATGCGCATTTGGGGTTAGGAAATGGAAAATGCCGACCCTCCAACATGGAATTTGTTTGTCGATGGATCGGCCAGGGACTCGGGATCAGGGGCAAGAGTTGTTTTGACCAGTCCGAAAGGTCACAGATTGGCCTCGGTAGTGAGGTTTGGGTTCAAGGCAATGAACAATGCTGCAGAATATGAGGCCCTCATTGCTGGCCTAAGGTTGGCAAGAGAGATGCAAGCTCAGAGGCTCCACGTGAGTAGTGATTCCCAGCTTATTGTAAGCCAGGTCAAGGGCGACTTCGTGGCAAAGGAAAAAGGTATGGTTTTCTACCTAAAACTGGTAAGGAGTCTACTGGGATTGTTCGACAGGGTCGAAATAACACAAATCCCACGCGAGGAGAATTTTCACGCCGATGCACTATCAAAGCTAGCCAGCAGCAGAGACTCTGAACTGCTAGCATTTGTTCCGATAGAGAACCTCGGAAAACCATCAACTTAACCCCCAGATGTCATGTGGGTCGAAGGAACTCCGACCTGGATGCAGCCAATCATTGTTTTCTTACAAGACCAGGTCCTCCCACCTAACAAGGAGGAGGCTACAAGCTGAGAAGGAAGTCTGCCCACTTCGTACTCGCAGATGACGTGCTCTTCAAGAGAGGCTTCTCACAGCCACTCCTTCGTTGCGTTGGTGGGGAAGAAGCAGATTACATATTGAGAGAGATCCACGAAGGTATATGCGGGAATCACTCAGGAAGCTTGACGCTGGCACAAAAGGTGCTGAGACAAGGCTACTACTGGCCGACCCTCAAAAAGGACGCAATCCAGTTCGCTAGGAAATGCGACAAATGCCAACGCTTCTCCCCCATACAAAGGCAACCATCCCAAGAGCTGACTGTGGTCTCCAGCCCATGGCCATTTTCGAAATGGGGCGTGGACCTCATAGGTCCCCTACCTAAAGGTAGAAGAGGGGTCAGCTTCGTTATAATAGCGATAGACTACTTCACGAAGTGGGTAGAAGCCGAACCACTTGCAAAGATAACGGAAACGAACACCTCCAAATTTCTGTGGAAGAACATCATCTGCAGGTTCGGCATTCCTCATTCCATCGTCTTCGACAATGGGCGACAGTTCGACAACAAGAAGGTACGGGACATGTGTGATGAACTGGGTATAAAGAAACACTTCTCCTCCCCTCATCACCCCCAGGCCAATGGACAGGTGGAAGTCGTTAACAAAACGATCAAGCATGTCCTAAAAAGAAAACTGGATGCCTCAAAAGGAGCGTGGGTAGATAAACTCCCACATGTCTTATGGGCAATCAGAACCACTACCAAGACGCCGACGGGAGAAACCCCCTTCTCCATGACATACGGCACAGAAGCCATGATTCCTGTCGAAGTGGGGATACCATCACCACGTCGTCTTCATTTCAGCGAGGTGTTAAACGATGCACTCCAGAGAGGGGACCTAGACTTCATTGATGAAAAAAGGGACGCCTCACAAGCAAAGCTTGTCATTTACCAAAGAAAAATGGCCAAGTACTACAACTCCAAATTGCGGAAGAAATCATTTAGGATCAACGAGCTCGTTCTACGAAGGGTCTTTTTATCGAAGGAGCCCAACGAGGGGACCCTGGGACCAAACTGGGAAGGGCCATACAAAGTCAAAGAAGAAATCCGACCTGGGACACACCGCATTGAAGACATGGATGGCAAGGTACAACCTCGTCCATGGAACATCGAACACTTGCTGATTTACTACCAGTAAAATGTAGTCCTGGAAGCTCTCTACCCAGACTTCTCTTTTTAAACATCAATAAAACTTTGTATCAAACATCTTGTTAATCCGCAATGGGTTGAAGCGTGGGCGCCTCAGAGTAGAGGGACTGAACAGTCTCCTCGATCGCACCAGAGGCGCACGCCACATGCCTCCATTCGACGATGCTAAACGTCGAAATGGGGAGGCCACTGCATGGATGCACCATTCACCATGCGTCGAAACGCAGGAGCCTCGGAGTAGAGAGACTGAAAAGCCTCATCGCTCGCTCCTAAGGCTCACGCCATATGCCTCCATTCGACATAGCTGAATGTCGAAGTCGAATAGCCAGTGATGGAAGCCTCGTTAATTCATTAAGGGTGCCACGGCAAGTTATTAATTACGAAGACATGGATGGCAAGGATGTGGTCTTATTATACGTTGCATAATTGTCATAAATTCTACACACGGAAGAAGCTAAGAAAGCAAAGAAATTCATTCATGTTCAAAATGGTACAAATGGTGGGCCTCAGGCCATTACATTGGAAATTTAAAAAGAGAAAAAGAAAATGCTAAGGGGCTGCAGTGGCTGGAGCTTCGTTTGTTGGAGGTACCTCACTCCCTTCAGGCTTATCGCCAGCCTCCTCTTCAGCTTCAGCTGCAGTACCCCTTTCCACCTCACCTGCAGGGGTCTGCAGGACTTCACCTAGGAATTCTTTCCTTAACCTAGAAGAATCAGCTTCAGGGAAGAGTTCCTCTACTCTTTCGATGACCCCAGCGTACCCATACCATCTCCAGTACTCAGCGAAGCTCTTGTACTCAGCAGTTTCATGAAAATGGGCAACATATTCCTCGACTGCCTTTCCTCGAGCTTCGGAAAGCTCCTGCCTCGCGATGGCGGAGTCATCAGTATACCACTTCATCTGACTCTCCAGAAACCTATTGGCTTCTGTAGCTCCGGCCAAGTCTTGATTTGCTTTCTCGAGGGCCTCGGCAGTAACTTTCTGATGCTGGTTGGAGATCTCCACTTTCTTTGTCAAGGAGGCCACCTCGCATTGAGATTCGTAGACCTCCCGTTTCAGGGACTCAATATGGGCCAAGGCGGAATCAAGTTTCGCCATATATTCAATCTTGTGAGAATTGGCCTCGTCCGCCTCAGCCCTCATCTTCTTTATCGTCGCCTCAGCATCGGCTTACCATCAGAGGCCTTCACCCTCGCCTGGATATCAGAAAACACCCCTTGAGGGAGACGAAGTAGTATACTCTTCGACAGATAGTTTATGAAGCTTTAATGCTTCTTGTTCAATATTGGCATTAGAGCTTTCAGATTTATTGGCACAAGGGCCTTCAGATAATACAGCCTTGTTGGTTTAAGGTTTAGGGTTTAGGGTTTTAGGGTTTGGGTTTAGGTTTTAGGGTTTAGGGTTTAGGGTTTAGGGTTTTAGGGTTTAGGGTTTAGGGTTTTAGGGTTTAGGGTTTAGGGTTTTTTTTTTTTTTAATAATGAAAAGCGGGAAAACAAATAGAGGAGGGGGGCATGGACCTGACCTCCAGCAAATGTAAATTGTAACAAATATTTGAAGATAAAATGCAATCACAGTAAACAAGACACGAACAAAAACTAATGAAAGGGACTCAAGGGTATTCCCGAGGGTAAATCTTCGGGTGGTAGTACATAGACATTGATCGAGTCATGCGTCTGGTTTGAAACATTTCCGGATCATAGTAGTCTGTGATGTCTGGCTCGCTCGTTGGAGAGGGGTCTCGCCTGCGTGTAGGAGCCCGCTTTGTTGATAAGTACTGTTCAGATGGTGGTGCACTGAATGTCGGGCGAAAAGCGGGTGCATCTGATCTCATTGTACTAGTCGTAGGTGCGTCTAATCTCATGGTGTTCTGTGCTACGACATCTGAATCATGGGAGATTGACCTGCTTGCTGTAGGGACATCGTCCTCTGCATTTTGCATGCAGTTTCCAAGTCCCATGCCATCCATGTCTCTCTGTATATGTTCTTTCACCTTATTGTGTGTAGGAGCTGTGATAGAAGGACTAGGTGAAGGTGTCTGCGTAGGAGTCTTACTCACAGAAGGTCCCTCTCCAAAGAGCTTAAAAACCAAGTCCTCAATAGCAAATCTCATGGTAGATCCAACTTTCATTCCATGGTCCTTCTTAAAGTGATCAATCAGCATATGCTTGACACCATGTCGCTCTGAGCTGATCTCAGCCAACAACCCCTGTGCAAGAGTGGTTTGAGGAACTGTCTCGGTACCTGATCCCTGCGCTGATTGAGTACCATCTGTGTGTGTCTTCAATGGTGGAGAACTCATATGCGTCGGCTCAGGGGGTACATCAGTAGTAGCTGTGGGAATAGGAGCTATGGAAGTAATAATAGGAGAAGTGGGTACCTCGATAGGAGCATTTGGAGTAGGCTCAGCAACTGAATGAATATACGGAGGTACCTCTGGATCAACTGTGATACGAGAATGACCCAAGTGTTTACAAGAGAAGCAAAAAATCGGCCGCTTCTCATAGATAACTGTTTGCCAGAAGCCACGGTTACCAGCACGCTCAATCCAAACCCTGTCGGGCAACTTATGCCCCAAGTTCACCTCAATGCACACCCTTGCCTCACTAGGTCGTCTCAAGTCGGTGGTGGCCTCATCAATTCTCAAGGGCATTCCTATTGTCCCAGATAAGGCGAAAAGGAACCCCTTCGCACGTAAATGTACTGGAAGCAGAGGGAACGATACCCATACGGGAACTATCGGAGTCTCCTGCTCAGGTGTAAAGTCACATGTCCACTTAAGGACTCTCATCGGCCAACCATCAATATACCATGAAGGTTTAAGAAAAAGCCTGCTGTAATCCTCCTCATGTGTAAGGTGTATAAGAATGTGTATTGTGTCAATCAATCCCACCTCGAAACAACCATGGAACCCAAACTTAGAAAAAATCTCACGTACCTTCCTCATGGTTGGCTTCCGATGTGGAAATTTCCCCACAAGCGTATACTTGTAAGGATCAGCGAGTGTAGCCTCCTCGGACTCAGTCAAAACTATTGCCGGATCACCCATATGTATAAAGGGTTCTTTAGCAGCAAACCCAGCAGTGGAAGAGTCATCTATACCCTGTATAACCGATGCAAACGACTTTCGTGAATTCCGTTCAGCTTGAGACAAGCCCGGACGGCCAGAAACTGCAGTAGCATAGGTCTTTCGGCCCTGGTTGAGCACTGTATGGGCCTCATGTGGAAAAATCGATGATGGAATTGGGTCCGTAACAAAATTCCCCACATTCTGGAGAAGTGTCACCGGCGCGTGACCACCACGCGCCGGCCGTTGACCGACCGTTGACCCGCGGCGATTTTCCAACGGTGTCAGAAAATTATGATTTTTCACAGGCAAATGCAGAATTTCATGCTGATCATCACGGTATGTTCCGTTTTTCGAAAATAGTTCAGGATTGGCCGAAATCTGTGATTTTCCGAGCAACTGGCCGGAAATTGCGATCGCCGGTGAGGGCGCGTCCGGAATCGGAATTGGATGATTTTTCAGTCGAAGGTTCACATTTTCATGGGTAATCTGATGGTCAGGCGCGTGTCCCTGTTTGAGCTCTGTGGAAGGGTTAATTGAAAAATCAGTTTTTGGCCCCTCGGGATCCGATCTGTCAATTTTGGGCGATTCGGATGAAATCTCTACCACCCCCAGGGTTTTCGGCCCTTCTGGAATCATTGGTGATGGTCCCAGACCCTGATTCAATGCGTAGGGGGGTGTTTCGATGACCTTGGGATTCGTTCCATGATTTTTCAAACTCAGATCTATTGAGTTGGGGGATGAATCTGATATTGGTGTTATAGGAGATGTTTGGGTGGTTGTTGGTGATGATTTTCCACCACTTAGAGTGCTGCAATCCGGTGGTTTTGGTGGTGGATCAAGTTTGTTGGAGTTTTGGAGGTTTTCTCCCATTCTAGAGAGAAGGGAGAGCGTTTTGGAGGTAGAGAGGGAAAAATGTTTTTTTTTTTTTTTTAATAAAGACATCCACACATCCTTAATGACTTTTTAGGGTCCACCAAGGAAGGTCGATGGGGGTTAAGGGTTCCCCAACCATGTTTATTTCATAGAAATCAAAAGTACAGGGAAGGAGGGGGGCATAAACCTGACCTCCAAAGAGCAACAGTGCAACAAATGAAATATTAAAAACGAATAAAGTAAATGAGGAAGTACTACTTCCTTGTACAAGAAAAATGAAATAATGATTGCCTAAACTACAAACCTCTAAAGCTGGGCAATCCATATCTGTCAATTTGTACCAATGCCCTAATCTGTCGAGGCAGGTCAAGTGGTCCATATTCTTGGTAGCGCTGGTGATCCCAGTCTTCTGAAGCAAGAGAATCTGTAACCTAGTTACCCTCTCTGTAGATGTGAGAAACTGTGTCTCTATCGAAGCAAATGAAGTCTCTGATCTGTCTGTAGGGTTTAGGGTTTTGGGTTTAGGGTTTTGGATTTTGGGTTTAGGGTTTAGGGTTTTTTTTTTTTTAAGCAAATACCACTAGTGTGGTTTATTTTATATAATGAAAAGCGGGAAAACAAATAGAGGAGGGGGGCATGGACCTGACCTCCAGAAAATGTAAATTGTAACAAATATTTGAAGATAAAATGCAATCACAGTAAACAAGACACGAACAAAAACTAATGATAGGTACTCAAGGGTATTCCCGAGGGTAAATCTTCGGGTGGTAGTACATAGACATTGATCGAGTCATGCGTCTGGTTTGAAATATTTCTGGATCATAGTAGTCTGCGATGTCTGGCTCGCTCGTTGGAGAGGGGTCTCGCCTGCGTGTAGGAGCCCGCTTTGTTGATAAGTACTGTTCAGATGGTGGTGCACTGAATGTCGGGCGAAAAGCGGGTGCATCTGATCTCATTGTACTAGTC